AGAGAGAAGAAAAAAAAAAAAAAAGGAAAGGGGGTGAAGAAGGGAAATAAAGTATCATTTTTCAAAGAGAAAGCTGCAATATGACCTCATTCAAGTACTTTGGTATCATGCTAATTTCTGTGAATAACTAAGATATAGCTATCATGAGAGCACAGCTTATTTTTCAGATCATTCTTTGCAATAATATCACAAGATGATTATAAAAAAAATCTTCTATTTCTGTCTTCTGTTGCCTTTGGAGTTTTTTTTTTTAAGCGCAGAGGCCTCCTACACTCCTATTAAGGGCCAGATAAGTTTCTTTGTGCAAAGGAAAACTTGAAGGCCTGAAGACTTCCCAAAGGGGAAACCTCACGGAATCCAGGCCGGGTCTGCAGGGCTCAGCACCGCCGTGGGAGATCACCGTGATCACTGCAGGCTCCTGGCTCAGCCCCTCGGAGAAGGGACCGTTTGCAGCCTCGGCACCTGTGTGACACATCACTGCGTCCTCACCTTCAGCACATACAGGTCAAGGTTTTGTTGGTAACAGGTATCACAAGGACGGTCCCTTTCTCAGGGCTCTAGAGCATCTTTGTTTTTCTTTGTTTTTAAAACAAACACACACACACCCCACCTCACTATTTTTCCTCACAGGTTTTTCTGGCAGAGGCCAGAACCCCGCTGACAAACACTGCCCACGGGCAGTAACCTGCCCATACGTGACAGCTTTAGTGACACAGATCTGCGTGCAGAGCAGCAGCTGCAGACACCAGCTGCAAACCAACGAGCCCTGGTCCCTGGAGCGGGCTGGCACCTGGGATCTTGGCTCTTCCCTCTGCTCCTCTGGGTATGGCACTCCATGCTGATCACCCAACATATGTACAGCCCAATACAGTGCAAGGACACGTATCTCACTCTGGCCTCTGGATCCACCTTGGTGACATTCGCAGGGAGCCTCTCCGCAGTCCCAAGCAGCCACAGCCGTGTTCCTTCACCAGGCCTGGATGTCCATGAATCTGCTCCAAGGGAGCCAGTCCATGGGCAACACGTCCCGGCAGCAGCACCACCACTACTTTCTGTCTCCTTGTGTCTCCCAAGAGAAGGCAGGAGCCAAGTTTTCCCTCTTGCTCCATCTGCTCCCTGCAAAATGTTTCTCTCTGGGGCAGGTGGCTGCATGTGCCCTCCTGGGATGGGGATATTTAGCCAGACCAGGCTGCTCTTGCACTAGAGATTTGCATTTTTTAACTTTCCACTCAGGTCACATGCTTGCATGTGCTTCTCTAACTCAGGATATATTGCTTCTAGATAAGAACTGCCATTATGTTGAGCGCTTTATAACTGTATCTTGGGGCTGTTTTTACAGGCTTTTCCTCAAATGAAGTTAGTTATTCCAAAACCTGATTGCCAGCCACGTAATTCAGACATTATATATCCCTCAAGTCCAACTTGACCTATATATCACCAGTGCCTATTTGCACTTCTGATAAAGGTTATGCATATCATGGACTGCAAAACTGTCAGACACTTCCCTTCTGCTTCATATACTTCAAATCAGTGGCAAGCAGGAAATAATCCATCTATAGAGTCCAATTCTCTGTAGGTCTTTAGAAGTGATATATAGCTATCCTAGTGCAAATTCCTGCTCACAACACAAACAGAATAGAATGAGAATACTTCCATTGCCCATTGGCAGCCAGGGACACCCTACAGCACCACCCCAGGGTTATTCCTGAGGGGAATTACTGTATTACTGTACCTGCAAGGAGGAAAAGGCCAGCAGCAGCCATGAGGATGCAGAGAGCCTTGTCAGAAGAGCACTGCTGTGAGCCCCACATGGACCTCTTCATTCTCTAGGCATGTTCTTAAAAAGAAAAGAGAGGTGATGAGGATCACCTGTTTGCCACACACTCAGCTGAACAAAATAAACTGATGATTTGCTGGGGGGAACGGCCACCTTCCATTCACCTCGAGAAACATGAGGGAGAGATTCCTGACATGGCACCCGGGAGCCTTCCCTCTGTTTCCTTGAGTAATGTCACTAGATCACCAGTCTCTACAGAGATAAAAAAAATACACAGTCTTTTTGAAGGCTTTTTGGCGTCGTCTCTGAAAGAGTGAGGTTTATATGATCATGCTGTGTATGTTCACCTGTCACCAAACCTCAAACCTGTTAGCAAACTTCAACCAATTTTGGCAAAGGAGCCAATGTTTGAAGTAGTGGAGTTCCTACAAATGCAGGAAAAACAAAGAGCCAGAAAGAGAAAACCCTGCAGGAGGCACAAGGAGAAGCTGCCTCAGTCCCGTGGTTCACAGGCAAACAAAATACTTCTTCTCACTATTGGGCTCTCCCTACACACAGACTTTCATCAGTTTAATTAAGCCCCAGGGCTGTGTATTTAATGGGAGAACAGACAGTTCTGGGGTATAAATATACATTCAACACTTAAAGCAAAAACTGAATACCCCTAGTTTGGCAGAAGTTCATCCAGTTTTGTGCTTCACTTCTACCAAATTACTTTTGAAGATGACTGTGGTTAAACAAAAGTAAATGAGATGTCAAACAGATTCCCAAGAGTCCAGGACTTAGTCCTACTCATTCCCTGAGATGGCTTTCACTGCTCACTTCACGGGGAATCACATACATGGGCATATCTGGGTCTAGGACTGCACCAAATTGAGTCTTCAATTAATAACAATGTATTTAGAATGACAGCATGGGACAGATGAGAGCCCCAAATTGTTGAAGGTGGCCAAGCCCCTTCAGGGGAGCCCCCTCTGCCTGGGACTCTCCACTGCAGGTTACTACTACGAGGTGGAAATTGTCCCTTTGTGTCCATACAAAACAAACGTTACAGAAGTGTAAGAGCTATAAAGCTATAGAGCTAGTAGAGACTTTCTCCATTTCCTTTCAAAACTGCACTTTACAAACTTCATTAAAAACTTAGGAAACTTCATCCAATTTCCATTTGCTGCCTTACTTAAATAGGAGTTTTTGTGCATGTCAGGTGATTCGTACCTGCTTCTAAAAATCCTATAGTCACTAAAGGTGCTGCTCAGAAACTCACCTCCCCGGGCAGCCAGAGGTCGAGGCAGGTTTTTGCTGTGTGCTGCAGACTGTTCCTGCTGTCAGATGGTGAAACAGCTCCTGGAGACGAAGAGAAAACCGGGGGGGACGTTGTGATGTTTTAGTGGGACAGGTAACGAGAGGGGATTTCCATTCCGAGGTCTCCCTCCTTAGCTATTGGAAAACAACAAATCTCCCCTCCCAACCTTCTCCTTTATTACTCCTGCAATGATTTGTTGACTTTTGCAATAACATTTAAGAAACAAATCATTATGTTTGCAGCCTGTGGTACGTCATGGGGCTGTATTAAGTTTTATCCAGAGCAAAGTCCAGAACATTTAGCATTATAAAACATAAATTAGAAAAAAACAACTGAGCTGCTCTCCTTGTTCCTGTTTCAGGAGTGCAGTAACAAACATTAGTTTTAATTTTCCCACAGCAGCTCTCTAGCCTCTGTCTGTGGCAGATAATTGTATAATGGAGAGATGATCCTGGAGCTTTCTTCCCTCTTCACTGCCTAGTTCTAAAAATACTAAATAGTGCCAGCTGCTGAGAAAGACCTAGTCTATTGAGACCAAGGAGCGAGAGGCACCACGAGGATAGGTCTGGGTGTCTGTCACCCTGGTGATCTGGGGGTTAGGTCCTGAATTTTCCAAGTTCTGGAGGAAGGAAACGGTTTGCGCAGGGCCTGGGGGGTCCTGTCTGTCTCCTACAGGAGTATCCACAACCCGGAGTGTTTTGGCAGCAGCTCCCAGCAGTCCAGACCCTTAATTGAATCTGCCTGGAGAAACTGGAGGGAGCTTGAACCTCACGAGGCTGCCGAACGCTGCAGATGTCCTCGTCAAAGCAGACCCACTGGTTCCTAAGCAAGACCGAGAGGATTTCCTCTTCCCCTCTCCCAGTAATCCAGTCAACCATCTGCACCTTTTCCTGACGCATCCGTCCGCGGCTCTTGGCTGCAGCCAGGCCCAGGCTCCCCGTGTGCTCTGGCACCAGGACGGACCCGCCGGACCCGGCACCTCCGCGCTCACGCCCCGCTCAGCCCGGGCTTTGCTCCTGCTCCACCTTGGACACAGCATTTTCACCACAAGTTCTAGCAAAGCCCTTTATTTCTTCAGGCCCACAAGTTTCAAGAAATTCCCATCTCCTCCTTTGCGGAGAGTCTGTGCGTGGCTTTCTTCAAGGGACCAACCTGGGCTTTGCAAGAGAGGGTGGTTTAGAAGTCACCTATTTTTTGCATTTGTCAATCTACTCCTACAGCATCATGGCATGGAAGGAGCTTTGCTGAGGTGCCAGAGCAGTTTTTGAGAATGCCAACTGCTCCCTTTCTCTGCTTCCTCTGTCTTACTCTATTTTCCTGTCTCTAGTTTAGTTTAGCTTTTTAAAATATCCTGCCTGAATGGTTTATTTATTGACTTTGCTAGGGACTGTTGCAGAGGATCCTGAATGCCAAGTGAGGGCACTCTCTTTTAATGCTAATGCAAAATCTTAGTTTTCTAGCTGCAAATTTCTTCATAAATTGTACAAGAAGAGGCTGAAGACTCAGCCGTAGAGCGTAGAAAAAGAAAAAAAGTAATTAAAGAGTACAGTGAAATGAAGAGAAAATGGCCATGAGCACAAACACGTTCAGACTCACTGGGGCCCTCAGATAAAAAGGAATTTTGCTTTTCTTTGGATGTGCAAAGATTTTTGCCAGGAGGTTGCTATGGTGACTTTTCAGCTCTTCCAAATCTCTGTGTACTGTAATTACATCTTCAAGACTGTGAGCTGGGAATCTTTGATTCTTTGGATGAAGAATGTGGGTGGCTGAGTCTTCAGGGTGTTTTTCAGCCTGCCATTTTTATTAAAATGCAAAATAAAAAGATTCATATACTTGTGTCTCCCTTAACAGCTGCTTACGGTGCCTTTTAGACCTTCTGGCCTCATTGACTGTCACCTTCCCAAGTTGTTTTTAAAGGGTTTTTAACTAAAAGGTTCACCTCTTAAAATACCCTGGTCCTTCATTCTGCATTGGCTACAGTTATTAGGATATTTAGCTTCCAGTTGGACTAGAAGCTTAAACTAAAATGCACATAATGATGGGAAAAGTATTTTCACACTTCCTCCTCTTTTGTTATTTACTTCCATTGTCACCGATCGAGTGCTGGGAGCCCAGAGCCTGTGCAAATATTCCCCGTATTGCCCAGTCTGACCTACGCAGTTACTCCCAGTTCCCTTAAGAAAATGTGTCATTTAACAAAAGTTAAAGTAGAAAATCCCTTAAATCAGAAACACTCAGAATTTGTCATTCAAATAAGCACAAGAAAATATTAGCAGAAAGGAGATTTGGTGTTAAGCGTCAACGGTTGTTATTAATGCTGCTTGTCTTAGGAAGGGACTGCGTGGTCACACACGAGGACCGAGGCTGCTCCGTGTCCCCGCACGGTCACTCACCCTCCGGCTCCGGCTCTGGGCTCCAGCTCCCAGTTGGGATCCTCTGCTGCTCCAGGCAGGAAAAGGGCCCGGCTCAAACGAGTCAGAGCTTAGGAGCTGATGGTCACTGTGAGCCCAGCCATCCACTGCTCGGGCATTCCTAGAGTTGGGAATTCCCAGGTACCGGAGAGCTTCGGAACACTTGTTTTGCAGGAACGTGTCTTCCAGCGGGGCGATCGACGGCCCTGGGAGAAGCAGTTCAACCGCAGGGAATGCTCCTTCCAGAGCAAAGATCTCTGTCCCGGGGCCGCGGAGCGCCCGCGTTTGCCGAAGCGGCTCCGCACCGCGCGGGATGCGGCCGGGCGCGGAGCGGGGCTGGAGCCGACCTCTGAACACCGACCTGGAACGCGCTCACGGCCGCAGAAACACGGCTGTAAATCACGCGCCGTCATAAACCGCAATCCTCCCGCTCCTATTGCACCCGATCGGAGAGTTCCCTAAATAAAGTGTGGGGCCGAGGCAGGAAAAGATCAGCAGTGTGATCGTCTTCCCTTTCAAAACCCCCAAGGATGTAAAGATTGCCAGTGTTTCTTGGAGACAGTTAACAGCTACTCCATAGAAATGATTTTTCTCTTTTTGTTTTCATTTCAGCACTAAAATTTTTGGCTAAGAGTTTTTGAATGCTACAGCAGGTGTTTTAGAGATCTGGATAAAATCCTTCTGAGGTTCTATGAACGTTCTATGAACACAATTTAAAAATACAACTAAACCTTCAGATTGATTTGGGTCATTCATTACAGACTCATTTTAGGATAACACACGTTTTTGATATTGTAAAGTATCCCAAGCATGTATTTTCAGAAGAAAAAAACTACATTTTTTACATTCATTATTAACAATATTTTTTTAAATTACACTTTATTACACTTCTAAAATCCACAATTGGAATAAACATTTTGAGGGAATCAAAATAATTTGTTGTAATACGCTTTTTTTTCCCCCTTTTTTTCCTCTCCCCCAAGGTAGCCAAGAGTGGTCGTGATGGGATTTAGGAGGCCTTAGAAATGGAGCTGTAGAAAGACTGGGGTGAAATGAAAGATCACCTGCTCAACCACCCTCTTCAAGCCCGGCTTGCTCCGTAACACCGTCCACTAAAGACCCACGGGTTTTTTGGAAAGCCTCAGCTCAAATGCTCTGCACAAGCTAATTTGCTGGTGCCCCAAACAGATGAAGACCATCCAAGCGTATCCAGAAGCCCCGTGTGGGTCCCTCACCGGGACACCGTTGCTCTCATCGGATCTCACCGCCCTTTCCACAGCAGCGTTCACCACCACGAGGAGCTCGGCCATGCTGAGCGGCCCTTGGGCTGCCAGCTTCGCTATGGCAGTTCCCTGCTGTCCCCGGGAAGGGACACAAACCCACAGCCTGGTCTCGGCAGTGACCTGAAGGGAACACGGCTGTTATTATATATATATATGTATCTATATGAGCCGGATCCACGTGCTTGTGCAGCACTGGCTGGCTTGGGACCGCTGGATGTCACTGTTGCCACATGCAAGTTTCGTGGCTGGGCCTTTCACTGGGCACATGGCAGGTGGCTCTTGCAAAGAAAATGAAGGAGGAAAAGCAGCACAAAAAGGAGAAGCCAGCTGCTTATTTTGCGACAGCAGCGTTTGAATGGAAAGCAGGCCTGCAAGAACCAGGGAGCACGTTTTCCTTGGAGCTCGTCGCTGCCGGCCGGAGCGTCCTGGGGCGACGGCAGCGGCGGATCAGCCCAGGCAGCCCTGACCCCCGACGGGACGAGCCAAGGCGCATCCCTGTGCGCAGCGCAGCGCAGCGCGTCCGCACACACCCGAGCGATGGGGAGGGCTGGAGCGCCGCTCGCCGGGACCCCTCGCAGGACGGGGCTGCTGAGCGGCCCCCGCAGCTTCCCTCATCTCCACGGGGCTTGCACCGTTTTAAACATGCTCCCACACACAGCCCAGACAAGGGAATGTTACAGGAATAAAACCAGAAGAATGCCCACAAGAAGAATAACTCTCTTGAAAAAGTACTAAAATTGTAGTTTATCTTAGATTAGTTCATCTTAGAAAAGCCCAGTTGCATGTGTCCTGGTAGATACATCTACATCTACAAGAATTTACCTATAGTCTTGCTCTTCTTGTTAACTGTGAGCAGGCTGGAAACTCTAGGATTTCTGTGTGCTTATGATGATGCTGGTTAAGAATATGAGAGTTCCAGTTTTCCTGTGAGCCACCAAACTTGGGCATCTCAAGGGGCACAAAGGCCTAAATGTCTTGGAGTCAGAAACAGGCAAACACAGTAGGAACAATCAGCTCCAAAACAGCCCAGGGGACGCCTGGCCGCGGGTCCGCACGAGGGAGCCCATCAGGAATAACACGAGCAGCCTCGGAGCGCGGGCAGGATTCCTCCGGAGCCGCCGTTTCCAGCTGGGAAGTCGGAGCTGCCTGAAGCATGTGAGCTATTCTGCAAAGGAGAGCACAGATGACACACACACTCAAACACACAAGTGCCATAGCCAAGATTTTTTCCAAAGCCTGAATTCAACGTGTCATATCACTGCTGCTTTTCTCATTCCTTTGGCTGAGGAATTTCTTAAAGGGGTAATAACATTTTCACCAGAGCCTATAACAGCTCTGGAGTTAAATGTAACAGAGCCCTGTTCACTTCTCTTGTACGTGGGTATCAGTTTCTTCCTCTGCTTACACTACACCAGAATTTAGCCCTGGTTGTGTGGTCGGGGGCCCAAAATGTAGGGACTTATCACCAGCCACCATGGGCCTTTGGCCTGCCCATGCCCTGGGGCAAAAGCCCTTCGGCAGCAGGGCCGTGGCTGCGTGACTCCAGCATCCAGGCTACCATGGCCTCCCGTTCTGCTGTCTGGATGTATTGAAAAGTCTTTTTGCTGCAGGAGCCATTTCTTACAGCCTGTGTTTATTGAGCACTGCCAGGAGGCTTTTTCCTTAGTCTCTTGTTTACCCAGTGGAGATGTGTTTTACCCATTTATTGTGGGTGCTGGAAGTGCCTGGACCTGGCGAGGAGAGGAGAAGGAGCAGCCGCTGTCGGGCTCTGGGGTCTCCCCGTTCCGGCCGCTGAAGGAACAGGCCGTGCCTGTTTCTCCCAAGAAAAGTCCCTCCAGGGTGAAAAGCAACTTGCCAGGAGAGGGAAGGAGGACAGTGCCCGTCCCAGGGTGGATGGAGACGGCCAGAGGGGCCGGTTGTTCCTAACAAATACCTTGACGAGTGCTGGACCAGGAGCTGAGGGTCCCACCGGGATTCACCCCGCGGCTGCTGCCTCCTGTCCTTGGCCGTGGTCGGCTGCTTCGATCTCTGCTTGCGCTGGGCAAACCTGGGGCAGCCCCGCGGTCGGGACAGACGCGGTTGTTCTGAGGGCAGCCTCGTGCCGGCCCCGCTCTGTGCGGAAAACCTGGGCTGGGAATTTCCTAAGCCGTCCCTTTGGCTCTTGTAATTCCTCCCTCAACAGGGACTGCCTGCACTGAGCAACCG